AATTTGAATTGTTTAGTCCAATCGTCTAATAAATATAAGTCGATTTTGGTTGGTACTTGTGTTGTTATTTTGTTATCTATTTCAAGTATTTTTGGTTTTTCTTCTTGTTTTGGTTTAATTATTGAGTATTTTGTAGTGTAATCATTTTGTAATAATTTTAGTACTAGTCCTTGAAATTCTTGGTTCATTGGTTTATCCAAGATCTGTTATTGTTTGTTGTACTCTTTGTGCAAGTCTTTCGTTTTCTCTTTCTTTGTCGTGTTTCAATAATTGAAGTTTCTTTGTTCTGATGCAATATATTATGGTTGCTACTACTATTGCAATTATTACTGCTAGTGCTGCTTCTCCTCCAAGTAAACTTATTACGTTTGTGTCTTGTATAAATGGTGGAGTTGTTGGTATAATTGTTGGTATTAATGTTGTTATTAATGATACTGTTGTTTGTACGAGAGTTGTTGGTGTTGGAGTCGGTATAGATATTTGTATTACTGTTGCCATTCAATGGTATCTGGTTCCAAATTGTTGGTTAATTAGATCTAAGTTTGGAAAGGTTTGGTTTAATGCTTGTTTCTTTGTGAGGTTTTGTAAGGGTAGTATGTCTTTTTGAAATTGTTTAAGTTGTTTATTTTTCCTTTTCCTTTGTCTTTCTGCACAGATGATTAATGTAATTATTACTCCTAGTATTATAATAGTTAAGGTAAGTGTTCCTCCAATTATTTCTGATTCAAGTTGGTTCATTTATTTCTTTCTGAAGAATGGTTTTGGTTTAGTTGGTGGTTTAGGTAGTGGTTTCTTTGGTACAGGTGGTGTTAGGTTGAATATTCCGTTAATGAATCTAGTAAAATGTGGGTCTTGGTTATATATTGGTATTGGTTGTCTTAAGTCTGGAGTTGAGTTATAATTTCGGGTTTGATTTTGGAGTTGTAATAGGTTTGGTGCAGAGTATGGTTGCAGATTATATGGGTTATTGTTTTTCTTGTTTCTTTTGAACATATATTAACAGCAGCAGTTTTCTCGGTTGGCTTCAAGGTATTGTTTTGCTCCAGGTATGGCCTTGTTCACTCTCTTTTTATATCTTTGTAGTGTGCAGCAGCAGGTACAGATGATTACTATTTTTAGTAATATTAATATTATGATTGTGTATATCAGCTGGGTTACAATTGGACTGTTATCTGGTGTTGTACAGTT